GATATGTCAGGCCTCGCTCCGAATGCACCGTACCCATCACACCAGCCCCGGCCAGCGTCTCGGGGTCAGTGTTGGTGTGATAGGGCACATAAAGCGGTGCGGTCGGCTTCTTTTGGAAACCCATTTGCCCTCCCCAGGTCAAGTTTTGGATCGTGAGTAGCGTACCGTCGTCGATGAGCACAAAGTCCTTGGTGCCATGCGCGAGAATGACGTTTCGCGTTTTGTCAATGACGTTGGGCAAGACTGGTTGACTTCCCGGGCCTTCGTCGATGGAGTTGTCGGTCTCATTGAAGAACACCGGTGTCTCAGTGCAGAAGACCCATTCCTTGTCCAAGGGGGCATTAATGGCTTTCTTGACGTCTTCCCGGTTGAAGTAGACTGGTCCAGCCCCTTTCGGCCTGTACATAGAGCCGTCGCTGAATCCAAGCGGGTCGTACTTCAACGGGCAGAGATTTGTGACGGAGTAGACGCTGAAGCAAGGAGTGATCTCCGTCGCAGCCTCTAAGATCATGGTCCAGGTATCACACTCTGTCTTCACGTTGCCATCCTCATCCAAGCCCGGCATTGTCGCAGGCTGCTGACCGGCAGGTGGATAGACGAGCCATTTGCGCATGTAGTCGGCATAGCCACACTTCTCATGTGCATCCTTTAGCGTCTGCCTGAACGTATCGTTGAAGGCGAAGACATGCTCCCATCGATCCACGAAGGAAACCGCAGGAATCTCCTCGCCGATGCTGTCGACTGAGTACGTCCCGTCAAAGATTTGCATACCGGCAATGTTGAAGTAGTCCTTGTCATTACTGTCGACCATTGCACTCGCGATGTAGGGGCAATACATGCCGCTGTACGAGGACCCCGTCACATAGACCTTATAGCCCTGCATGGCGAAGGTGTCGACAAAGTTGCGCCAGAAACTGAGGAACTGGCGGGCGACATCGAATTCGTCCTTGGCGGTGGGCGTACCCTGTGAAAAGCCCGTACCGACGGGCTGGTCCACCCAGACGACGTTTGTGATACGGTGCCAACTCCATTTGTTGCGGATGGGCTTGAACATTCCCGGCTGCCAGAGCATGGGGCCGTTTTCTGAGAGGAGTTCTCCAGTGGAGGAACAACCAGGCTGGCAGTGCAAGTTAGTTCTGTTTGATCTTCGTTCTCATATCGTAGAGACTTACCCCACCGGTCAACCAAATCAAGATCTCCTTGTCAGCGGCCTGACTCTCGGATGGGAAGAACCAGAAGTACAGCTTCCCGGCTGTGTCATTGTTCTTGTCGATGTTGAGCAATCCCGCATAGGACTCGCCGACGTCAAAGTCAACTTCGGGAATCTTTGTTCCATTGACGACAAACTCTAAGGGCAGAAGTGTTAGACAGAAAGCCAACTTGGATCGTCAGTGACATGTATCATCGCACTTTTGGTCCTGTCTGTGAGGAACTTTGGCTCCCCTTGAGCCTTGTTCACGACATTTTGCTGAAAGTCGGCCTTCGCGTTTGAGTACTTGGGCTGGTTCAACGACGGTTTGTACTGTTTCAAGTTCAAGGTTGCAGAAACAGCCACGGGAAGCAGCAAGGCCGCACGAAGCCAATGCATCATAGAATATACCGTGAGGAAGAATTTGGGGTCGTCGATACCCTTCTTGGCTTGTCGCTGATGATTACAGCATCACCCTCGACAAGTATAACGGTCAAGCAGGTCGTACAGAATGTGGGGAAAGGCCAGGCGGCTCTGCACCGGGCTTTAAAGAAGGGCAACAAAGAGGTGCTACCATTTAAGCATTCCTCGGAAAGGCGCGATGCGTGTTTCAAGATGGGCCCTGTTGGAGGGGATCAAGCTCGGACGCTGATCCCGATGAAGGGAAACGCACATCAGTGTCACCTCAACTCGGTTTCGCCCGAGCTTAGTTCACTTGGCAACGGGCCGCTAGGTTTGGGGAGAGCTAGTCGTAATTTGGAAATAAAGAGGAGGGTTCTGGAGTTTGAAAGGTTATAAGGACGGGAGACCCTTGACGTATGACTGGTGAATCGGCTTGATTAGATGGTTGTATCTGCTGAAGGTTGATGTAAGGCGCACACAGATAAGCTTCTCTGTTCATCAAACCTGAACTGTTTCGGTAGACGGCAGACGCCGACTTTCGCCATAATTGGATATATCGTTATTGAGGTGTTTTTTGTTAGAACACAGGCTGATCTTTAGACTGCAAATACCTTAGCTAGAGACGCACTAGCTGGATAGCATGCTATCCAATCAATAAGCCATTCTCGGGGGCGGCAGGGCTCAGCCCAACTTTTGCGGATTGTTCACGAATAGATCGGTTACTCGATCATGCCGTCGGGAACTAAGAAAACCTACGTAAACCAAATATTGACCTTGTGGTTCTGTCACACCCGCCCGGTGACGGAAAGTAAACCAGTCTGCTTAATATAGCATCTCATTCTTCTGCTGGCTATTTCAGATTCATACTAGCTTCCACGTTTCTGGAGAGTTTATCCTCGCCTTGCCGTTCGTAGATCCACCGCTTACGGCCATGCCCTGTCACAGGTGTTGCCTGATGGTGGAACAAAGTTCATCGCCAGTTTTAGATCAAATGGCCTGCAATGAGATGTCGTACACATCGGCAAGGGTGGTGCTAAAGAGCGGATCATTGTAACTGTACTGTCCTATTGACTTTCCTTGACTCGAAATAGACATTTGACTCCGCCTCTTCCTAGGTGTCTTTCGAATTATTGCCTTACTCGTCCACTGTCCTGGATGAATCGTAGGTTTCTCCTTCACTCCACTTCTGGACTGGAATAAACCGTCACTATATATATTTGTAGATGATACATAAGAAATGATCACCTGAAGCCGATGAAAACTGCAACATTCAATTTTATTCAACTTAACAGATACGTTCGAGGGGAGTTTGTATTGTAGATCGGCGTGCAGTGGCAGGGGAGGTTTGCGTGGTGCAATAACAAGGAATTGGCATGGAATTATCCGTGTGCTGTCGGAGAGATTTTATACCGAGTTCAGAGTGAAGATTACAGGCAAAGTCAATGGTTCATATAATCATCTCGGAGGGGCGAGCAAAAGTCGTTTGTTTGATTGGGTTATGGCCAACAACGCAAGATGCTAAAATCATGGAGCCACCTTTTGCACGCATCACCGGAGACTCTACCACAAACACACGTGTAGACTTTGAAACATCAGAAACATTGCTAGGACTTAAGATTACAATCTATAGACGCCTCTCGCTGATTCGGCAGTGAGCAATCGTACTTTGATGGCGAAACATGGTCGATCGCTGGTAGGAGCTCGGTACGCTATGACTATGCCTCGTTCCTCTGACTCAATCCCAAAAGTCGACTCTGTTTGTTCCCCTGTAGTCATGATGAACAATGGTTCTAGATTCGTGTCCTGCAACAAATTTCAAGCTTCCTTGTGGCCGGTTTGGAGCCCTGCTTCCGCACAGGTCTGCACACCGACTAGTCAGTCCGGGGATCTCTCTACTGATTCGTCAAATGAATAGATGTTAAGCAATTTTTGTCACAGTAGAAGGGGACATGGTATTCGTTCCATTTAGTGTTGGTCGTCTTGCTGCAAGTGTGACAGGTCTTGCGTTGACTAACTGCCTATAGAGATGTTGGTTGAAGTGGATGAGTTGAGAAAGATTGATTGGGAATACCTAAGGAATTGATGTGTTGGAGAAAGAAGCCCCTTCGATAAGACAAGTAGACTTTGGTTTTGGCGTTGAGCCTTTCGTCTCATCCTCCCAAAAAGGGCTTACACGATAGTAAACTATTCCGATCAACGAACAGATGCTCACTCTAATCGAGTTCAGCTGTATAATGGTAGAAAGCACACAAGATGGCGATGGTTTGGCCGGCCTTGGGGAAGTTGTCTGTGTTATTTCTGACTCAGTCCCTGATCGAAAACATATTTTGTGGCATGCACTGTCGCAGACTGCAAGCCAAGTATTGCTCTCTTCGATGTTTTGGGTCTCGCCGAGCATGCACCAGTGATTACAGATGTTGGGAGGGCGGGAAGACAGCTCCTTAAGGCCATGGAAGGCGCTTTTGTCTTCGAAGTCAGCAATTTGTCGACATCGATTTTCGAATAGTGCCCTAGCTTGAATACTATGTATGGGACCGCCCTCGAGTGTCAAGTCTCTAGTGAGGATGACGAGTAGGAGAGTAAAGTATGGATCGCAGGTCAGATTTCTCGGATAATTACTTTGAACACAGCTGGACTTACGTATTTACAGAAACCCTCATTTCAAGCCATTAATTGACCAGACAATACCATAAGCTAGGGCGTAAGCCAATGTGATGTCAAAGTCTGCGAAGCAAAGGAATTGAACTGGTCTGAGAACTTTTTGGAGGGCTGAAATCATTTCAGGGGAGAACTTTTCTTTTGAGTGCTCAAAGCATTCTGCCCTCATGCACGCATAGCCTTTTTCAATTACCCCTCAATTGAGATGAGCGTGCTAGACTTTTGTTCGAAGTCGTCTATGAATTTCGAGACGTCTTTTATTTCAAACAGGAGTGATGTTGCTGTCGCGGAGACGCAAGGGCATTCCTGAACTATTCTCGGTAGAATCTGGGTATATCTCGACGGCAGCCCATTCATCGAGTTTAATTTCAAGGCAGGAATAAGAGCTCCTCATAGGTATTAGACATTATTGACAAGCTATATAAGTAGACATGTACTTTAAATAGAACCCGAACCAGGCACATTCTTTGACCTCAGCCAGTATGTCATCGCATCATTGAGTCTGTCAATGAGGAAGATGCCCTATATGCACTTGCGGCCCATGTGGCGAACTCTGCCATCCAAAGCCAACAGAAAGCAATCGGTATCAAGGCAATCAACACCCACCATAACTCTACGGTCAGTCGTCGCCTCAACCAGCGCTGACACCTCGCTCCCATCTTTCGTCGATGAGAGCATACGGAAGTGCCATAAACTAGACAGCCAAGTCCCGGTCTTGACTCGCACTCCATATGTTCACGTCGCCTTTGCATCAGAAGCCTGGGCCAAGAGTTAGATAGCAGGTACGGGGAGATGACAGGGCAAATATCAAAAACCAGGATGGGATATTGGGGCAACATACGGGACACTGCCTCTACAGAAGCGCAGATCACTACCAAGATCACACCGTTTATCGTTTGGACACTCAAGATGAAGCATGCGGCGCTCCATGAGCCACTCCACCTTGAGTCGTACGCCCGTGTCGACGAGGTAGTAGAAGTAGCTGCTGGTGTGTTTCAGTGAGAGGGCGTCGGGGTATATGAGTTGCTTGGAGATGAGAAGGTGGATTTCTGCGGGCAGATCTGTGAAGCCGGCGAGCTGGGTGCGGTCGGAGGCCTCCTTATCGGCAGGCCGGAGCGACCTTTCTGCTGCCGGCGCCGGAGTGGGTCGCTTGCGGGCGCGGATGGGTTCCATTGTCGCGGGATTGCGATAGGCTAGCTGCGGATTCGACGTTGAGAGATGCAAATGCGGGAGTAGTCGCCAGAATTCCTTGTTGAAATTGTCTCGTGTGTTTCTGACGTTCAAAAGAGAAGAAGACTGTGTGTCAAATCGTGATTTTTGGGGGAGGATTAACAGGCGACCTATATAGGAACGGAAATCCTGCTGCCTTCGAGTGAGTGTTTATGGGGACTTTGAGGCGTGGCATGTTCCTAGCGTGTCAGACACGAAGTTTCAGTCCGTCCGTCACCAGGAATACGTTGCACTGTCAGTCAGGCAGATGCCGACTGTGGCTGGTTTCAGGAACCGCTTTGCCAAATCCAGGGCGTTTAACGTGGCTGATTTCAACACTATAGCATTCTCCAGGTTGCCGCGGTGCGCCTCGTTGCCTCTCTTTGAGTTCCAAACGAGTTAGCTTTCTCGCTGCTTTTGTGCCTTTTCCATTCCCTGCTAACAGCTTTGCCCCGTGAGACAACTACTTCGTGTTAAGGTCGGCTTCTGAAAGGCGTCTAAATGCTGCTTTTCAGAGTGCTGTTCCGACTGAAAACATGGGCGGCTAAGGCTTTCCATGTTGACTAAGAGAGCCACTTCCTGAATGCAAGAGACATGGAACGGATTCTGTCAACGGGTTGATCCAGATGCATGCATTATGCGTCACGTCGAGAGGAGAAAGTAAATGTATACACGCGTCGTTGTTGCGACGTTCCTAGAGCGAAGCGCGGCATTCTTCAGTGGAGTTAGCACAACATGGTCACCTAACTCACTTCCCCGTCTCCTACAAGAAAACTGCAATCATTTCATACAATTGCTATCCAATTGGTAATATTTGAGCTGCGATATCCAAATCGACTCACGCCAGTACAAAACCCTACTCTCCTATGCTAGACAATATGCCAGTGCAAAGCTCTCGCTTCCCCCATAGATACCTAATTACAGAACCCCCAAATTGACAAAGCATTGCTTCGGTTTCCGTGTCAATGTTTCAATATCATCATAGCCAGAGAGACTCTCATCGCAAGTCCGGAAATCAAACGACCACACTAGCAGAGTGACCAAAAGCCTGAGTTCCAGATACGCCAACTTGCGACCGAAACAACCTCGAAGACCAAGACCAAACGGCAAAGTCGGTCCAGCCAACGCGTCAAAGACGACCTCGCCTTTATCGCTCTTTGTGAGCCAGCGCTCAGGACGGAACTTGTCCATGCCGTCAGAGCCCCACACCCGCAAGCCGCGCTCCTCTGCTGCTGTCCGAGACGAAGCACTGCGCAGTTTCTCATCGACTTCGAAACCTGGTTCTGTAAAACTGGGACCCCGGTTGGGAATGAAGACAGTGGTGCCTTTGGGAATATGGCGTCCCAAAACGATGGTGTCCTCCTTGGCTTGTCTCTCCTGACCGACAGCGGTGTGTGAGAGTCGGAGCATTTCTTCGACAACGGCATCCAAGTAAGGGATGCTGGCTCCTGTGATCTCTTCGTGGGACGGGAGACGGTCGTCGCTAATGGCATTTTGGTGAGCAGCACGAAGGCTCTCTCGAAGCTGTTGCTGACAAGCAGGATTGTCGCTCAGGAACTTCACTCCCCAGCAAAGGGTTGTACTCGTGGTATCATGTCCTGCTACGACGAAACCAAGCAACTGCATCAAACGTCGTCAGTCAGTTCTGCAAACAAGATATGCTTTGACAAAAGACACAAAAAGTACTCACCTCGTCATTCATTGCATCAGACCAATATACCGGCTTGCGGTTTTCTTTGCCCGCAAAGACAGTTTCTCTGTGAATCATCAGATCCACCGCAGACTTCACGTAGCTGTCGCCATCGTCCTGAGCCTGGCCTTCGTATCTCTCAACAGCTTTTTGGACCTGCTCTTTGAAGAATGCTTTTCTAAATGTTCTCATGCTTCTGACGCTGGGCTTGAGGCCAATCAGCCACCATGCGATGTCAGGAAACCCAGTTGCCGCAACTCCGGTGACGTTGTCGGCCGTCTTGATCGCCGTCTCTAGAGTTGGATGGATGGGTGCGACAGGAAAGCTGACGGCCTTTGCGTTCGACGCATCAACACCAGCCTTGTTCTCGCTGCCGCTCTGAAGCATCTCGATCTGTGGGATCAGCGCTCGATGTTCGACGCTGGAACCGAATCCAAAGTCGAAGACTGCATCCAGAGCCGTGTAGAAGATGTCTTGCTCAGCACTGAAAGGCTTACCAGTGGCAGCAGTCTTCATATTCCACAACTCCAGAAGATTTCTAGCGCTCTTGTAGATGTTCGGGGCCGCGACGTGGTTGAGGAAGTTGGGGGTCATGAGGTCCTGGAGCAAGCGTCGGTGGGATTTCCATTCCGGGCCTGTCTTTAAGTTGATGTGGAAGCTAGGGGCCTCCCCGCCCAAAAGGCTGATGGTGAAGTCGGAACGATCAAATTCTTTGCGACGCATGAGAATATCCTGTCCCTCGCGGAAGTCGGCGATGAAAACTGTCGGCTTGTGGAAGGGCTGAAGGAAGAACTGAGACAAGGGGCTGTCATGTCGGCGTGCTTGTTCAATCATCCATCTGAAGGGGTTTTGGGGAGATTCTTTCTGGAGTCTCGGGATGTCTCCGAGAAGAGACTTGATAACCTCTTTGTTGTATGGGATTCCCGGGATCGGCTTGGGGAGTAGGTAGTTGTAAAGAGCATAAAGCAAGCCGATGAGCAATGTGGAGCCGGCCGTAGCTAATATGCTGAGGGGTGGAATCTGGTCCACGGGCGAAGTTGTTGCAGTAAAATTTGACATTTTCAAAGATGCGATGAATATCAGGCTAAGGTTAGACCATGAGACTCAAAAGCATATTCATTCGAAGTTTCTGCAGTCTGGTGACCTTTTATCACAAAGACGATCGCGACATGAGGCCGCGTCCGCGGGGTGCCGACACAGGGTACCACGGACGACATTGCGGAGCTAAGGGCCGCGGAGGCCGCACCTCTTAAGCCAAGAATATGACGTTGCTTGCGGATCCTACGACAACTACTCAACGATGATACTCCAGATGTATGGAATGAATATAAGAGAGATTATACGTTAGATTTACCTGGAATTGGATAGGTCAAGCCCCTTGTGTGCCGCCTCCGAGTCCCCGCTCCCATCTCCACGGTCCGGCAGGTGGGTTGTGGGTTTACTCCGCGCTTAGACTGCCCGATCAGGAAATGTTGTCTGGAGAAAGTGCAACGGGCGCGGAATGATGAGCGCGTCCGACGGCGGTCCGTATCCGGCGGCAGTACGGCTCAAGTCTTTTTTAGAACCTTCGCCGCGACTCCGTTGGAAATAAACGTTTCTGTTAGTACGCAGCTCATGATTCTCAGTTGAGCTCCGTTGCGACTGTGTTCTGTAGACATGATGGGCCAAGCTTGTTGCCACACACCTTCAGGGACTATGAGGACGAGTATGCATTGCTTGCCACCTTGATGAAGAGTAGGTGTTGCCGGCATTTCCTAACACCCAAGGTTGAAGCATCCGTAGTAGTATAAATAAGAGGTATCCATCGGAGGAGGAGTTCCTGATTATATCATGAGAACCTCGGAAGCACTTTTCTGAATCAAGATAACTTTCTGTTTTCTAAATTGATCCGGAACCCATACTCTCCACCAATATGTCATTCAATGAGAAGACAATCGCAATCACTGGAGTAGCTAGTGGAATAGGCCGAGCTACAGCTGTTTATCTCGCTAGCAGAGGGGCATCATTGGCAATATCCGACGTCCAGACAGAAGCCCTGAAAGCCGTTGCCGAGGAGCTGAAGACAGCCAACCCTGATATACGCGTTGAGGCAACAGTAGTGGACGTCAGTAAGCCCGAAGAGGTCAGGGACTGGATCCAAGGCACCAAGAAGACGTTCGGGCGCCTAGATGGTGCCGCCAACATTGCCGGCACTGGAGCGTCGAGCCAGGTCCCACTTGAAGCCCAGTCCGACCAAGAATGAGAGTTCTTGCTGGGAATCAATCTTTCGGGAACAATGTACTGCTTACGGGAAGAGCTGAAGCACATCAGTGATGGCGGTTCCATCGTCAATGCCTCGAGTGTTCTTGGTTTGAGAAGCTTTCCTGGCCACGGCGGATCCGCTTACGTCGCCGTGTTGGGGCTCACGAGGAACGCGGCAAGAGAATACGGCCATCGAAAGATCCGGATCAACTGTATCAATCCGTGAGTAAAATGCCGAATCTACACCTAGTGCTTGCGCCAACTCTCGTGTGAGCATAGACTAATGGCACCGACACAGGGGTGGCATTGCCACGCCTTTGATGCAGCCAAAACCAGGGGAAGCGGACCCCATGATGGGTATGCTGCCACCAATCTCCCGTATGGGGAAGCCCGAGGAAGTTGCTGCTCTGGTTGGATTCTTGCTCGGCGATGAATCTACGTACATTTCAGGAACGTCGGTTGTCATCGACGGAGGTCTTACCTGTTAAATAATTCGCACAAATCACCTATGCACGTCTATGCCAGGAGGGAGAACTCTAAGCGTTCTCATATTCTTTGGTGCAACTGTGAGGCTTGCAGCCCAGCGAAGCGATCCTGTCTGAAAACTTGGTTGTTTCCCCACTTGGGCCGAATCAATAAACATGGAAGGATTGCAGAAGGAAAGAAGACTACAATAAGAATTTGACCAAGGGGCCAAACGATCGAATAAAGATTGTGGATCAAAACTTGGTTTCCTCTCGCTCCTCATCCTCCCCTACGATGCATTATCCTGGATCATGGGCTGTAAAGGATCCAACCGTCCACCTCGACACTCCGCCTCTCTCATTTTGCCTTCCGCTCGAACCATGTCCTGAGATCCTAGAAGCTTCACCCATGACGGGAAGTACGACCCCAATCCTGTCACGCGGCCGTGGCCCGGTGGACTGGCCAATCCCAATCTCGCAAGTCTGTTTCTGTCCCAAATTGCGAAGCCCATTCTCCTATAAGGCTCGAACCCAGCAAATTTCATCGGCGAGTGCGCATTCCTCCCCATGCTGTCCACAATCCATAGACTGTCAGCGGGCAATACCAGCGCGGACCTACGAGTGTCTGGAGTTGCAGGCATTTCTCGGGACGAAGGTGAGATGTCCTCGATAGAGCTGTCGGGGGGAGGCATCCGATCCACGAGTGTGTTACCACTATTTGTCTTGGAGGTAGAAAGGCTCTTGAGGTAGTCAACTGCAGTCATTACCTCGTGATAAGCGGCCTTAAAGTTGGTGCTGGTGCTGTCGTAAAAAGACTGGATATCAAGGACTTCTGTTTTCAAGTCCTTTGACTCCTTTCCCTCCCCCTTTGTTCCGAGGAGCTGAGACTTTCGCGCCGCCAAGTTCATTTCAAGCACAACTTGAACTCTCCAGAATGCTCGAATCATCCGCTGTTCTTCGCACCATGACAGCTTATCGTGAGCTGAAAGATCCGGGGCATCCAATCGGCCTTCCGTCTTCGCAGCCACCAGACTGTCCTGGTAGTGCCTGATACAAAGTCGGCTCAGGGAGTGTAAGCGACTGGCCGTAGCAAGTACCGAACGCATGACGGTCAGATTGGGGATCTTTGTTGTATCCATGGTCGGCAGAATGTAATCAGAATCCGAGCTCTGGCCAAGCACGATGCCAGCTTCGCGATCACTGATCCGGGCGGCAAGTGTGAGATGAGGTGTGTTCTTGTATGCGCCTGAACGTATTGAGATAATGCATCGTATGACTTTCTGTGTCTGTGATGGAATGTTGTTCTCTGTAACTGCGGGCCAGAAGATATCTTCACTGTATTGATTGAAAACCCGGCTTGCGATGGGCGAGGAGATAAGGAGGTTCCAAAGACAGTGAACGTCGTCAATTTGCGTTAGTATCTGAAGGAGCACCTCGGTCGGGAGGCCCTCGAGATGGATGACTTCCTTCGAATCCATGATTCCGCGGTGAAGAGTTGCATAAATACGTGAACATGTGTTTGTTTGTGGTGCTTCCTCTGGGTAGATTTCCCCCTGGATCGGAGCTAACGCTTCGGACGGTTGACCCCGCATTCACACAGTCGGCAGCGACACACTTCGGATTCCGACCATGCCCCTACGTGAGGTAAGGTTCCCCGTGCTACTGTCGATCCACGTTGGATCTTGACGTCAATCATTTGAACCACCTTTGAAACCCAATCGATGGCACAACAAGTCATCCCTGCCAACAACTAACTCCGGACACGAATGGCTGGTGACTGATAGCAACGGAAACCACAGGCAACCATCTCCAACCTGCCAAGTATTACTGATATCTTTCGATAATATACTTCCGTTAGGGAGATTTAGGTCTATATTGAGTTATGTTCATTTAGTCAATGTGGGTGCAGTGCAGCTCTCTGTTGTGACAATATTTTCACGAGTTCGCTCGAGTGAGGTTGACAAGGCAGCAAATGAAGTCTAAATTACCTTAGTTCATGCAAAATTTCGCAATGTCCTTTGGGTCGATTATTTCCAGCGAATGATAATCCAACTGTATCTTGAGGAGTTGCGAGGGACCTACATATGACTTTGAGGATAAGTACTTATACGAAACTGTTGGCACAGGCTCTAATACAGCGAATGATTCAAGGAGCCAATCATTGAGTTCTGATTCACACCTTGGACCCCAAGGCAGAACTTTTGACTGCGTTCTGCTTCACGAGACCAACAACGACATACCTTATGCATACCTTGACATTTTGTCTTAAAGACATGACGCAACAACGTAAGCCCATTAATCTCCCTAACCCCATGCGCGACTTACTGATGTTTGAACGATACAGATCAGGCTGGCGAATGTCTACGACAATCGCTCCCTGCTTGGTCATCATCTTCCACTAGCTGGTAATACGTATTCATTCAACCTTTTTCTTTGATTATTTCTGGAATGAATCGTTGCCATCAACTAGACACACACGAAGCTCATCGATGTCTTACATTACGGCACTCAATTATCTAGCCGCTTTGTCAAAGTTCTGGCCTACATAAATACATAGGTTGGCTGACACGAGCATTCTCCCCTTTTCTATTCTATGTTTCCATGATTGGTGGCAAAGAATGATCATCTGACTTCTTCATCATCGAATACCTCAATGTGCTTGCCAGGCTTGCGGGTCTGCGACAAGAACATTCGAGACTTAATCCAAGATCAAGCCCTGGAAGATATAAGCACGCAGATGATGTTTCTGGAATTAACCTATCAAAAACACCCAGTGGTTGAAAATATGGGGAAAAAGAAGCGGCAATGTTTGCCGAGGATTGCCTAAATCACCAACCAACTTGACAATAAATCGGCAGTCAAGGGCCCGAAGTGACATTATTCCTGACGTCCAACAGCATGCTGTCTGAGGTGATTAGTTAGAATCATAAGCCCAAATTTGTGTTTCTCCCTGAGATTATATATAAGGCGGTTTTCTTGCGCCTTCGAAACTTCGCTTGATTGACGAGTTGCGAGTTGGCTCGGGATCTTCGGACTTTTCGGGTTTTTGTGATGTGGCACAGAGATTCTTTCGTAAATCATTCATAGTATCCAAGCCTCATGCATCCCTCGACTTCACGTGACTAATGTAGTACAATCAGTCCGAGTATATCGGACTCGGGTGATGTACGAGGAGTGCGAGGAGTCCGAAGACCCCAGGTTTAGTATTGCATTTCTCGCGGGTAGAGCATGGAAGAAGTACTAAAAGTCGTGAAAGACTACCTGTTTTCGATTCAGAATTATGGTTCTCATATCATTCTCTCCTTCTAAATCACTCTGCTTGAACTTCGAGAAGCCTGTCGTTCTATTTCTCGGTATGGGAGTTTGGCCAGCACACGATCATCAACTCGAAGCAACCGGTTACAGCCTACACCTCCATTGGCCTCCCCAAAACAGTAAAGCTCTGGAGGTGGGGCTGATATGAACGGACTCAACTCGACGACGGGCGCTGGGGGTACAGAGGCAGCCGCCGAGGCAGCATTTGACTTCCGACTTTACCGCTACACCCCATCTCTTCCGGCTGCCATAGTCAGTGCTGCTGTCTTCGCAGTTCTGACACTCCTTCATTTTTGGCGGTTGTATCAAGCCCGAGCCTTTTACTTTACTGCCTTTGCTCTTGGTGGTGTTTGTGAGTGTGGCCCCGTTTAGAACCTGCCCCTTACTCGAACCCCCGAGGCTTCTTGTTCCATTGGAGTCTTTGAAGAAGTGCCTTCCAGTCTGCCGGGATTGGACATACTGACTTTGACTTTGCAGTTCAGATGATAGGGTACTGCGGTCGAATATGGTCACACTTTGATACCATGGCCATCGGCGGCTTCGTCATGCAGGCCATCCTGATTCTTGTTGCCCCGGCCTTATACGCAGCCTCGATTTACATGATCCTCGGCCGCCTGATTCGAACTCTCCGAGCCGACCACCTTTCCCTCTTGCCCGTGCCATGGGTCACGAAGATCTTCGTCACTGGAGACGTCGTCTCGTTTACAATGCAGGCGGGAGGAGGCGGAATCCAAGCAGCAGGAACCCTAGAGCTCTACGATATCGGCGAGAAGATCATCATTGTTGGTCTTCTGGTTCAGATTGTTGTCTTTGGGTTCTTTATCGTTACGACTATCCTATTCCATCATCGAATCAGTCGAAAGCCCACTACGATTGCCATAGAAGGGATCGTTCCCTGGCGACGATACCTCTGGGTCCTCTACAGCACCAGTCTTATCATCCTCGTACGAAGCGTCTTCCGAGTCATCGAATACCTACAAGGTAACCGCGGGTACCTTATATCACACGAAGCCTTTCTGTACATTTTCGATACCGTTCTTATGGTCGCAGTCATGGCGGTTTTCCTGATTTGGTATGTTGAAGACTTGGAACAGAAGGTATCAAGAAAAGACAGAGATACATTGGGGTCCAGCGATAGTGCCTGTATGTTGGAAGAGCTGCCTGGAAGGCAGAATGGCCGGAAATAGAGGGCAAAGAATAGCAATGCGGGTTGTCCGTCGGCAGGCCAGCGTTGCTAGATTGGGCCGTGTACAAAAGAGAAGCGTCACCTGAGGGAACCTTAGGCTTGACATATTCGTCGCCTGCTGTATCAATGCGTAAATTTACAGAGACACTGGATATGAGAAGACAAAGAGGTGTTGTTCATAGACAAAGTTCATTGGTTTCCATTGCTGAATCTCTGATCCACGACCTATGCTCTTGATCTAGCATACCATACGTCTCTATGTAGAGATTGTTTGCCCAACCATCCAGCCACCAGCGACTGCGCAAGCGCTTAAGCAGCATGCAGAAATACAAGAATATGACCAGCGCCTTTTGCCTATTCTCTCTCAGCAATGGAAGGAAGTCGTCTGCAACCATGGCTATCCAGACGAAAACATCAGTGATGTCTTGAGGCTCTGCGGACTCATAGAAAGCGCCATAAGACTTGTAGAGCTCATTGATGGCCCTGTTGTATATCTCCAGAAGCCCATTATCTGGCTCCGATGCGTTGATATTTGCTTCCAGGTCTCCAAGATGCGTGTGGTGATATGGACCTTCTCGATACTGGAAATGTGCAGTAATCCGCGTAATAATCGGCGAAATTAGAAGATTATCGTTCGGTTCCCCCACAAGATACCGGGTCCCGCAGAAGAGGACTATCCAGTCGGGAGATTGGCCTGCACTGGCTAGCGGCGATTCGTGTAGATATTGCGAATTGGCTAGAACTGGGAGTGGAGAAACAAGTCAGCATACTCTTTCTGCACCGAAACCGAGAACGAGGACTCCCACCAATGTAGATAGTCAAAACTGAGAAGATGAACAAGTGTGCTTTATTCTCGTCTCGGACGTGCTCCATCAAGCTGACAGCTGTTCTTGAGGATATTTCGTGATGCAGCATCGACTTCTCCAGTAATTGGTCTTTCCTATCGGGATTCAGATATGCGAGATGCAGCGCTGCCAGCGAGAGGATGCTCCTCATGACGTAGTCGGTTTCCAGCCCGAGTTTGACGACATTCAGCCGCCAAAAGTCCCCGAGCAGCGGGTTGTCCGATAAAGTCTGCGCGGTGAAGTTGCAGTAATGATGCAGGAGTTCAAGGTCGAGAAAGTTCAACTCTCCCGCATGCTGAGAAAGGGTCAACATAGGGTCGAGTGACGGCGAGGCTAGAAAGCCGCAAGCCACGCCATGTTTGAGGCAGTTCTTGCACGCAGGTCGCTGCTCATCACACTAGAAGAGTCTCGTAAGTCAATATACGATTTCTGGATATTCGAGAAAGAGTAGACATGTTCATCCCACCGGCCCGACCCCGAGGACATGACACGGGACAAGCATGACGGCTTCTAGACCAGGACCTCTGATCCTGCTACTACCACCCACTGCCACGCGTGCAATCGAGCCGCACACAGCCGTAGTAACAAGCATTCTTACCTTGATCTTTCTCGATTTACAAGTCTTACAGCCTGTACGAGTCTTTGGATGCGCCCGTCGTGACGGGTTTGGTTGCATGTTCGTACTCGGTGCTGTCCGATGACAGCTACACGGCGGGTCGAACCGGTGAACAACGATTCGTTAAGTAGGTATTACACCACGGCGTTTCCGCCATGACAACGAATTCGACAAGCTGAATCGCTCTTGTTCAAGCTCCGGCGATAGATCATAGATAGATTACGCCCTGATGCAGCGTAGAAAGATACGGCTGTTGATTAATAGAGGGGACGCATAACCTGCATCCAACCCGCGGACGCCTTCGTACTCTAGTCGTATTCGCACTTTCTCGGGTGGTGTAAGGGGCTAGCCTAGACGGACAAGTTCCATTGGGAAGCTCGGCGCCACACTCAAGCGTCACCTTGTCTTGGATCGACTGCTGATATTCCGCTGAGTCAGGCAAACTAGTAAACACAGAGCAGCAAAAAAACCTATTCTCGGCTGGATAATTTTGTGTTTTGTCGGCGCGCTTCCGATGTTAGTTACCATCAACGGTCCACCACATTGCCCAGCCGTGCCAGCCTAGCCCCCACGGAAAATAAAATATCAGAAAACTCGGGTTAGGGAGGATGAGTGAGCACTACGTAGAGCTCGTCTGGCAGGTTCTCCGACTCTGAAACCCAGCATCTGTACCGGGACCAACCAGATCGCCGCCTAAGTAACCGGCTGCGCGTAGAGCTTTTGCCTGAGCGCCCTGAACCCGGCTGGTGTATCCGATCACACCATCTACTGCCCACCAATCTAGCAAACCACAAAGCGTTTCTTATTCGCGAACCTCAAAAACACACGGTGAGACTTGTAGTTCCCCAGAATTAGACTTAAGTTCGTGGTCTGATGATTTATAAAGCTTGGCATTTGCTTATCCTTTAGGCGTGAATGCTGCTGACAAGTGTGTGTACTTCACGACTTGGGGTTTCAAGTTAAAATCCTCATTGCTTGTCAAATAATATGCTTCCCTGTCAGAGGATGCCGTCAAATCTCTGTCTACCATGCCGCAACCAGCGACATGGCTATGCCGCTGGTGGGGGAGCAGGTTTTCGCGACCTCGGTAACTATACGGCAGTACAGGGGCATCTGATAGGTCGCTACAATTCTAATTTTTCTACCTTTTGGCGAAATTCCACGAGTCATGGACGTGTACATGGTTTAAGAGACCACGCTGTCCTAGTCTGGAGTGATGAAACCATTAGTATGGACGATATCTGATTTGGTGCTTTGATGCGGACTCTGCCGGCTGGAGCCAACTAAGCGGTCGGAGTGCGGGCCGCTTGTAAGATGTGCCAGCCACACAAGCCAGTCGGGTCTGATCTTTACATCTACGAGCTATCCCCTAAGTCCCCAACCCCCCACCAATTTCTGTCGGCAGGCAGTATCAGCATGATTTTTGCAGTTTTGCAGCTCACATGTCGAAGCCACAAGGCCCGGACTTCCCCGGACTTCCGGGTCAATGATCCGGAAATACGCCAACACCGGCATCTTTTGGCGGGTTTCCGAACGTCAGAATAGACTTCACGTAACGTCCTTGGGTGATCCTAGTATAGTTCAAATGTGAAAGGTCGAACAAGACCTCAAGGCCGTGACCTTCATGATACCAGTGTCAGACTAGCCTGATTTTGAAACCTTTCTTCCACGATATTCGCAACTTCGTCCGCGACAACAACCATATCGAGCGTGCCTCGAGTGAATTTATAACGTAACTGAAGATGTGTGAGGCGTTGTTGCAGGTTTCATGGCGGAGCTGGGATCAAGAATTTAGGCTAACGTATCGTTATAGGTGCCACAGATGCGTAGAAAGCCAACCACCCCGCTCTTAAACTTGGTAGGCCCGCGTGAACGCAACCCTAGTGGGGGGCATCGTGGGTTTGGCCCCATCACACATTTGCTAGTTAAAATCATGCTTTTCCGTTTTGAACATCGAAGATCGTGGCGGACATAGCTCAGTTGGGAGAGCGTCAGACTGAAGTGGAATTCATTCCTGAAAACTTCATTCAAATTATCTGAAGGTCGTGTGTTCAATCCACACTGGCCGCATCTTCTATTTTTGCAGTTGACGTATTGGCTCTCAATAAGTGATTTCGAAAGTTTGCATTATCTTCGGTGAATGGAGGAAGGAACACTTACTTCGCTTTCGCCTTGAGGAGCAAACTAAGTAGTAGTTAGTCAAATTGATGTGCTTGTTACGTTACCTCATTCTAAATCTTTTGATGGACCACGTGTCTAACATGGTGCCATGCCACTTCCCTTTCCCTTCGCCGTCTTCTAAGTTGTAACTTGTAAGTGAGTATGTCATGAAACTTATTCTGATATCGTAGCTTTGATTTCCAATATTTCTTAGACAAGGTCGCAGTTTCAGACAAGGTGTAAGTCAGTAAGACTGCTTGCCGAGAAGGAAGACGAATAATCCACGCCAGTCAAAACACCTTATTGATGGCTAGATTGGAAACACACACGCGTCGAGATTGTGGATTCATCGAGTTCTTGGGATACGCTACGTCAATCGGGTACACGGCGATATATTACCCCGCATGTTCACCGCCTGTTCTGTAACGCCGTGGTGTGTAAACTGTCAGTCGGCTGTCTACACAATATCTAAAGTTGTTTCACATGTTGGCTGTCCATTGAATGAACGTGGCAGCTCCCATAAATCTTTAGAATATTCTGCCTCCCGGACGATACTACTGTCCCGGAGTGAGGACAGCCGTCTTTAGTTTTATAACTTGGCCCTGTGTCTGCCCCTAGTTAGTCTAATTGTGCTTTAGAATAGACTAGGACAAGATGGGTCTCAAGCTTAGCATCACGAGAAACACGAGCACCAATTTGTGCAAACAATGGAGTAAGGAACTGCAAAGAGTGCTGACTCTCCTGGCGCATGCGATCAGAAATGCAAGGGAAGCTAGAAACGTGTAGACTGAGGATGGTAACAAGCAGCAAACACGTAACACGTATCCTGGATTTCTTGTACATGACAGCTTGGCCCAGGAGAATGTCTGTGGAATCGGCATTGTCGCCTTCCTGGAGTTGAAATGTTTGGCGAGGCAATGTTGCGACCAATGCTTCAACGCCTTGCAGCCCAAGAGTTAAGCAATCCTGTGCTACGGCCGCTAGTCTTTCTTTCAAGATTCACAACGCTTTGGAGGGAAACATGTACAACAAATGTTGCTATCAGCCACTCAACGTAAACCGGAATCAGGCGTGAACCTCATGAGGTGATATTGGCATGTAACACAATGCTGTCGTAAAGAGCTTAGTGTTTCCAGATACTTAGAAGTTGACTACAAAAAGATAACATAACGTTTTCGTCTCTGTTCGTTTCCAGTCCCTGCCATCACTGTTAGCTCCACCTGCACTCTTGATTATCCTCCATCTTCCCACACGTCTCTCCAAAGGGTCAACGAATCTTCATTCTTCTTTTCCTCTCAAGATGATTCATCCAGAATGTGATCCCCTTCCTTGCCATACTGGCTGTGTTTCTTCTGACTACCCTTTCTCTCAGCACCGGCG